AAAAAAAAAAAAAAAAAAAAAATCACAAGAATATGAAAAATTTGAAACGTTTTTTTAAGTAGGGTTAAATTTTGTTAAAACATGGATTTCCCCACAGTGCCATAACTATAGGAAGCTCTTACGTGCTTGGACGGCTCCAAAACCCACCAGTTCCCCCACTCTTATCTTGAAAGTATAATGGCTGCGAACCAGCCCCAAGGCATTCTTATCTAGCCCTATAGCCAATTACCTATTGTGTTCGGTTCTTTATATCATTCAGATTCAGTGGAGCCCCAACAGCCAAGATTAACATGTTTACCACATCACTATAATTTAGTAAGCTGGAATAAATAAGTGGGGTGGAAAAAAAATAAAATAAATTGATGGCTTAACCAGAAGAATGACTTCGGTTTCTCCATAAAAAACAGATTCCAATTATGAGTTTTAAAAGTCTACTTGTGTCCTAAATGACAAAACAATCCCACTTTCAATACACTGTAATGCACCTACCCACAGCCTGCGATGAGATATCAAAGCCTCTTAAATACAGACATTAAAATGAAAACCTTAAGCTCATTTTGACACTTTACAAGTAAAACAGACATAAGCAAAGCACCGATTTGCAGACAGTACTGTGAAGTGCAGTCTATTATTAGAGTACTGGAGGCACTACTCCAGGTCTTAAAATACCACAGTCTGACCTTGCTTTAGTGTGGACTGTCTGCCTGACCAGGTGGATAACTGGAGCACATGATGATCAAAAGCAGCCCAGAGGAAGTCACGGTTCCAACTGAATCTGTATGCCACTGAGGTCAGGTGTTGATGTATGAAAAAAAAAGTTTGCCCCCGATAAAATTTGAGATGTGTATAAAACATCAAAAGCACTGCAGGAACGCACACCAGAATTATAGCCCTGTCAGGCCAGAAAGAGCCTCTAAAAACTGCATTCAGACACTGAAACGCCATCTGAAGGATACTTAAGTGGGTCAGCAGCTCCTTTAGAGAGAAAAACACCCCACACTGATTTGAACCTGAACAGCTTCGGGCCTTTAGCTGAAGCTGCAACACTTTATTCAAGATCTACATCAATGAAACCATGCCACAGTTTCAAGACGTGCTGCAGCCAACACCAACGACTGATATTCAAATGTTTTGCAAGAGGCCAGACACTTTTAAAAAAAAAAAAAAATTTAAAAAAAATGCAAAGCTGTCAACTTTAATATGTCACTGCTAGCATCAGGGGAAGGGGGGTGTCATGACGCGAGCCAGCTTTACACTCTGGCAAGACGAGTCCATTTGATAATTTTCTACAAACAGTCACATCCAATTTATGCTTTCACTGATCAGTAGGTATGGGCATTTCAAATCTGACTTCTCTTAATTCTAAACCACTCATGTGACTGCAGAGTTGTGGCAGATTTTTGATGCTTGAGCATTTTCAGCCACACATCTTTGGCTTCTGACATTTTCCTCTTACATAGCATATGAAATGGCAAGGCTAAGTTCCCCGTAGTTGGTACATTTGTTGAAAGTATTATAGCATTATTGTTTTTGTTTGTTTGTTTTTTAATCTAACAAATTCCAGGGCTCGCAAAATTTCAAAATCCCTGGTAGCCCTTCGGGCAGGCACTTTTTGGTTTTTGGTAGCCCAAAATAAATTTAAGTAGCCCAAATAAAAAATATTTTATTGTATAATATATTAAAGAAAACAAAACATCAATCAAAAAAATTGTTAAAACACAGCTGTATAAACATTACAATCAACTCAAATATCTGGTTCTAATTAAACAGAAATTTCTGTGAACTTGTTAGAAC